ACTGCTGCCGCATTTGACGGCAAAGACTTCTACACATGGAGCTTTGAGTTTGAGCTCCTCCTACAAACAGCGCAGATCTACCATTACTTCGACGGTTCCTACCCTAAACCGGTGGAATTCACCGACGACGCCAGGGCTCAGTACTACAGCGGGTCCCTCATGGCGTACGGCGTGCTGCTACGAAATATGACGCCTGCAGAACAACTCAGCATTCGCTCCTACAAAGAGAGCTCCGCTCCAGCCTTGGAAGCCTGGAAGCACCGCGTTGAGGTTTATCAGCCGAAGGACTCGGTTAGCGCCAGCAGGCTACTGCAGCAACTCATACAGACAAAGATGGGGCACGAGGAGAAAGCAAATTCTTATATTAACCGCTGTCGAATATCCGTGACCAGGTCACGAACCATGGGAGCGCAATCTCGGAAAAGATCTTTGTCAACATGGTCCTTCAAGGACTCGGGCCAGAGTGGAAGCCCTGCAAAGCACTACTCCGACAACGAGGAATCCTTTCAGAAGCCGCGCTATGCGCCGCACTCCTGACTGAAAAGCAGGACATGGATTCGAGCAGAACAAGCTTTGCGCCGCGCCGAGAGCGCCTCGCCTTCTACACAGACAACTGTAAAGGGCAACGACAATCAAGGCGCCACTATTGCAAAATATGCAAAATCATCGGACACTCAACGGATCGATGCAAATCCGGATCCAACTATCGCCACCCGAATTACACTTACCACAACAACTGGGTCCGCCGACAAGGTGCTCGTCATTTACAGCCTCAGCATCAGACATCTCGTCCCCCTGCGCAACACCAACTTCAGCAACCACAAGGACCTCAACCAGGAGCTCTTAGAAACATTATCGCCGACATGGCGATGCGGCGTCATCGTACTACTGAACCAGACGAAGAGGACGAACTTAGCGGAGGACTGATTGAACCAAAAGAGGGATGGAATAATCCTCTCATAGAAGACCACTACTATCTGTACAACGAAGACGAGCAAGACTGGCATAAGCCAATGACATTGAGGGAAAGCCCGCCACATGACAACCAGCACTACGTACCTGTGAAATGGAAAGAAGAGAAGATCCATCCTTCCACAGGCGCTACAAGGCAACCCTGGTAACTCCGCGACTGGCGATACTCCTACGCAGAAACAACACCGACAACCACAACACCTGGTACCTGGACAGCTGCTGCGGACAGCACATGGTGGGATCTATTCCACACGTCTCGAATCTGAGTCGCGCTCCCGCAACCTACATCACCGTCACCAACAATGAGCAGCTGCGCGCCGATGCGCAAGGCATTGTAGTCCTGCAAGTGAGAAAAGAGAACGAGAATGAAATGACTAAGGGAAAGATGGGTACAAGTACAAACCCCAGAAAGCTGTACCCCATATGTGCTACCCCACTATAGCCTACAGTAGCTATGTCATATAAATCTGACACACCCCCATAGGCAAAGTGGGGGAGAACAAGGGGTCACAAGACCAGTCAAGCGAAGCAAAGCAAGCTCAGGGTGGATCACAAAGTCACCACACATTCGGAGCACAAGTTCAAGGCCACAAGGCCAGTTCACATGCAGGATTACATATATATATAAGGCTAGACAAGCAAGAGCAGGTGTATATATATATGCAACACTACAAACAAGGTCAAGGGGTGAGCAAGTGAGGCAAGGAAGGCACAAGACCCAGCTGAGTACAGAAGCGCTGATGATCAAAAGGCGCAAGTGCCTTGGTGAAGATATCAGCAGTGTTGGCCTCACAGGCCACGTACGCAAGGCGCAGCTGACCACGCTGCTGTAGCTCACGAGCAAGGAAGTAGCGGAGAGCAATGTGCTTCGTTCTGTGCTCCAGTCTCTCCTCTCGACACAAGGCCAGCATGGCCTTGTTGTCTACGAACAGCACTGGAGGAGAACGAGGCGGCTCTCCGAGGTCAGTCAGCAGGTAGGTGAGCCAGCGAAGCTCCTGTGCAGCCATGTCCCCGGCGTAGATCTCAGCCTCACAACTGGAGCCGAGAACAGAAGACGAGCGGGTAGCCCGCCACGAAACAGAGCCGGAACCAAGGCTGAAGGTGTAACCCTGTGACGACCGCTGCGTAGCCTGGTCGTCAGCCCAAGAAGCGTCCGCGTGCCCAGTGAGGACCACTGGACTCTGCCCTCCAAGCACAAGCCCCATGCCCGACGTACTACATAAGTAGCGCAACACCCTCTTCGCTGCAGCCATGTGCTCCGGTCTGTGTCTCCCAGGAGCAACATAGCGTGCGAGAATGCTAAGAGGGTATGCAAGGTCAGGTCGTGTGCAGGTCATCAGGTACATGAGGCAGCCAACAAGCTCTGAGTACAGGCCACTCGACTCTACGGACTCATCCGAAGGCAGAGCTGAGAGCGAGTGGCGAGTAGGCAGAGGAGTGGCCTGAGGCGAGGAGTACGTGAAGCCGAAGCGCTGAAGGACTTGCTGCACCATGTGTGACTGAGTCAGGGTAATGGTGCGGCGTGCTCTGTCCCGGGTGATCTGCAAGCCAAGGTAGCTGCGCAGTTCACCCAGGTCTGTGCACGTGTGTCTCTTCTGCAGCTCGGACTTCACGTGGGCGAGTCCAGCTGTGTCAGCTGTGGCAAAGACCAAGTCGTCGACGTACACGAGGATGTAGAACGGCGGCAAAGAAGTGTCGGTGCGCAGAAACAGCGATGGGTCGGCTGTAGAAGGAGCAAACCCAAGAGCCGCAAGTGTAGTCCTCAGTGCGTCGTGCCACTGACGGGGCACCTGGCGGAGACCGTAGACTGGCCGCCGGAGGCTCCACTGGGTGCCAGGAGGAAAAGACCCAGTGAAGCCAGGTGGGCGACGCAGCCAGATCTCCTCGTGCAGGCTGCCCTGCAAGAAAGCAGTGCTGAAGTCAAGAGAGTGCAGCTCGTAGTCGCGGTGAGCAGCTATCTGCAGCAGTACCCGAAGAGTGGTCATTTTCGGGGTGGGAGAAAAGGTCTAAAAGTAGTCAAATCCCTGCCGCTGACTGAAGCCACGAGCCACGTAACGCGCCTTGAAGACAGGCGGAGAACCAGGCGGCCGCTTCACCCTGAAAATCCACATGCCACTGACGATGTTCGCCCCAGGCGGGGGAACCTCGTCAACGTAGGTGCCTGTGGACTTCCAAGAAGCCATCTCTGTGTCCATAGCTGCCTGCCACTAAGAGGAGTAGGGACCCTCTACGGCCTCCGCGTAGGAGCGCGGAGTCGGGATGTCAAGTGCATCCGGGTCTCCCTCAGGGGTAAGCAGTACGGACACGAGATGAGGTGAAGCAGCAGCTAAACACTGGAACTCCTCTTGCTTGTCCTCAAGGACGTCCGTGCCAAGGGCACACTCACCCCCAACGGACGGAGGATAGACAGACTCAGACTCAGCGACAAGACTAGCAGCGTAGTCTAGACGAGAGCGAGCAGCAAAGTCGACGAGCTCAGCAACTAGGGCAGACGCAGCAGTGGACTCAAAGGAAGGGTCTGTGACGACACTAGCAAGGAGACGCGTGACAGTAGGACTGGCAGCACGAAGAGAGTCCGACTCCGATTCGGGAAGAGCAGGAAGTGAGGACTCAGGAGGAGAAGGCAAAGAGGCACGTAGAGGAGTAGTGGACAAACGTAGAGACATCCGGTGCGTGCCAGGGACAGGAGGAGGACGCTGACGCGAACCACGACCACTAGTGCGAGCAGGATGGACAGGCGACGAAGGGCGAGACGCAGGCTCACGACGCTCAGCAAGACCTCCAGTAGGACCAGTGTAGGGAGAAGGAGCAGGCAGTGGGGAGGCCGGCTGTAACTGTAACTGTGACAGGACAGGCTGTGGACACTCTAAAGGAGGAGGAGGACCAGTAGAAGGCGGGAGACCAAGAACCTGCTGAAGGAGCGGAACGAAGTACGGCCGAGGCCGCGCGGCGACTCAAGACACAGCAGGGACAGCACCAGTTTCCCCAGCGGCAGCACCAGCGCCAGCAGCACCCCCAGCTCCAGTACCTCCAGCAGCACCAGTAGCACACCCAGCTGCACCGCCTCCAGGACCGACAGCAGTAGCCTCAGCGCCAACACCCTCAGCAGCTCCAGCTCCAGTCGTACCTGCAGGCCCAGCAGCTCCAGTACTCCCAGTACGAGCACCTCTGGGACCCGCGGCACCAGCACCCTCAGCAGCCGAAGAACCTCCAGCTCCAGCAGCACGCCTCCAGCGCCTCTGCCCCCCTTGCCCTTGCCAGGGCGGCGTCTCCCGCTAGGGGTAGACGCCGCACCGATCGACTCAAGCCCAACAAGTTCGGCCGCAGCAGCAGAGGCAACAGAGGGCAAAAGGGGGGAGGGGAACACCCCTCAAAGATGGGGGTGCGAGGGTCACCACGAGAGGCTCCTACAGCTACTATGCTCTTCTCTGCTGCTAGGAGGGCCTTCTCGAGGAGGTCAACGGTGAGAGTGGTGGGGCAAACAGAGAGGAAGTGGTCCCTGACTACGCGAAGGGAGTCAGGGAGCCGGGTGACTATGTAGTAGAGGGTGATGTACATGGGGGGGGGGTTTCTTGGCGCATAACTCAGCAGGAAGCGCAGCGCGGTAGCGAGTGTCACTAGTGCGGAGGTGCGTAATGAGGTCAGCGACTGTGGGAAAGGCAGCAAGGTCAGGGAAGAGGTACGGTAGCATGAGGCGGCTCAGTGCAGCAGTGGCAGGGGAGGAGTAGCGTGCAACTACAGTGTTGTACAAGGTCTGAGCACTCTTGTACTAACTAAAGTGCGCACGCTCAGAGGTAGGCAGGTGGCGACGCACAGCAAGACGTGCAGCAGCATCGCGTGTGGCCCACTGTGAGCGAACAGTGGCGTCAGCATCAGCAGAAGGGGCAGGAGAGGCACCAGAGGTGAGGTCAAAGAGGGAGAGACCGTCTGCCCTATCGCACTGTAGGAAAAGCTGTAGGTCATCTACCCAGACGTCAAAGTCAATGGCCCGACCCTCAGCGTCAAAAGCGAGGACACTAGGGGTAGCCATGACTGCCCTGCCTCATGCTACCCGTGGGGCCTCCCGAGCCGCCCGACAGCCGAGCCGCCCAGCACCGTGCAGCCGAGCCGCCCAGCAGCCGAGCCGCCCAGCAGCCGAGCCGCCCGACAGCCGAGCCGCCCTGCACCAGCAGCCGAGTCACCCAGCAGCCGAGCCGCCCAGCAGCCGAGCCGCCCTACAGCCGAGTCGCCCGACAGCCGAGCCGCCGAGCAGCCCGATTGCTCCACCTACCTGGTAAGAGCACAGTCTCTGCCACTGCACTGCCCTGCCTCCTGCTGTTATGGCTTCCCCTAGCGTTCTCACCTTTGACGCTGAGGGTCGGGCAGTGGACTTTTGAGGTCTGGGTAGATGATCTGCAGCTTTTCCTGCAGTGCGATAGGGCAGACGGCCTCTCCCTGTTTGACCTCACTTCTGGTGCCTCCCCTGCCCTTGCTGCTGATGCTGACGCCACTGTTCGCTCACAGTGGGCCACACGTGACGCTGCTGCTCGCCTTACTGTGCGCCGCCACTTACCGACCACTGAGCGTGCACACTTTAGCCAGTACAAGAGTGCTCAGACCTTGTACGAAGCTGTAGTTGCATGCTACTCTTCCCCTGCCACTGCTGCACTGAGCCGCCTCATGCTATTGTACCTCTTCATTGACCTTGTTGCCTTTCCCACTGTTGCTGACCTCATTACGCACCTCCGCACTTGTGACACTCGCTACCGCGCTGCGCTTCCTGCTGAGTTCTGTGCCAAGACCCCCCCCCCCATGTACATCACCCTCTACTACATAGTCACCCGTCTCCCTGACTCTCTCCGTGTAGTCAGGGACCACTTCCTCTCAGTTTGCCCCACCACCCTCACCGTTGACCTCCTCGAGAAGGCCCTCCTAGCAGCGGAGAAGAGCATAGTTGCTGTAGGAGCCTCTCGTGGTGACCCTCGCACCCCCATCTTTGAGGTGTGTTCTCCCTCCCCCCTCTTGCCCTCTGTTGCCTCTGCTGCTACGGCTGACCTTGTTGGTTTCGAGTCGGTCGGCGCTGCGTCTGCCCCGAGCGGGAGACGCCGCACCGGCAAGGGCAAGGGGGGCAAGGGCACTGGAGGAGGTGGAGGGGGCGGTGGAGGTGGTGGTGGAGGCGGTGGAGGGAGTGGGGTTGGTGGTGGGAGTGGTGCTGGGGGTGGCGGCGGCGGCGGCAGCAGTGGAGGCGGCGGAGGCGGTGGAGGTGGAGGAGGGAGCGGAGGCGGCGGAGGTAGCGGAAGCGGCGGAGGTAGTGGAGGAGGCGGAGGTGGAGGAGGCGGCGGTGGCGGCGGAGGCGGCGGCGGCGGCGGAGGCGGCGGTGGTGGAGCGAGTCGCGACTCTACGTCGAGGAGTGGCGCCGATGGTGGTCAGCGCCAGCAGCAGCAACGGAGTGGTGTGACCCTGTCCCCTCAGCAGCTTCGTGAGTGGTACACTGCACGCCAGCGCGGTGGGGGTTTTGGTCCCTGCTCTTACGTTCTCCGTACCGGCGACCGCACTAGTGAGCAGTGTGGGGGTCCGCACTCCACCCAGCGCTGCTTTGGTCGACTGACGGACGCGTGGCGTTGCCAGTTGCCTGAGGCGTCAGAGATCCCTCGCTGGGGAAATCTGGCTAAGGCCGGGGTTGCTATCTTTGATCTTGACTTTGATGCTATTCTTGCTGCAATGTATGCTGTTGCTGATAGTGTTGAGGGTGCGTGTTACCTGTGTGTACCGCCTGACCCGGGCATTGAGGCTGCTGCGCTAGGTGCTGGTGAGACTGCTGCTCTAGGTGCTAGTGCGTCTGCTGCCCCAAGTGCCAGTGCGTCTGCCGCCCCAGGTGCTGGTGAGTCGGCTCTCTCAGGTACTACGTCGGCTCAGGCCTTCCACACCTTCACCCTAGACTCGGGTGCGTCCCGCTCCTTCTTTCGAGACCGCACCACTCTTACGCCGCTTAGTCGGCCGGTTGCAGTCTCCCTAGCAGACCCCTCTGGGGGTCCTGTCCTTGCCAGCTTCTCCACTATCCTTCCGTGCCCTGCAGCCCCCTCTGGCACCCTGTCAGGTCTCTACCTCTCCTCGTTCTCTACGAACTTGGTGAGTGGAGCGGACCTACAGGATCGAGGGGTTGACCAGTTCACTCCTGCGAGTCAGCGAGTGACCCACTGCAAGTGTGCTCGGACAGGCCGACACTTGGCCACGTTCACCCGTCGGCCAGGGTCGAGCCTGTACACCTCTACTCCTGAGTCTCCTCCTACTGCCGAGTCTGCCCAGGTAGCTACGTTGAGTTAGGTGTTTGCTGCGGCGTCCAGGTCTGGTCCTAAGTCTGCCCCCTGCTTGTGTCGTCTGCTGTCCCACCAGACTCTCCTTTGGCACCACCGCCTTGGTCACCCCTCCTTGCCTCGTCTCCAAGGCATGGCCTCCCGTGTCCTTGTCTCTGGTCTTCCTCAGTCTCTCCCTCCCCTTCCTCCGGGGCCTGGCCCTACCTGCGTCCCCTGCGTCGAGGGGCGACAGCGCGCCGCCCTGTCAGAACTTATAGCTTACTTGTTTCTGTAGGCTATAGTGGGGTATCCCATAGGGGGTACAACCCAATTAGGGTTTCCTATTTGTACTCACTTCGTTCATAGTCATTTCACTTCTCGTTCGTACTTTCTCATGGAATCAGAGCAGGTCCCTTCCTAGGGCCTGTTCCTAGGGCCCACCGAAGCGCGCCCCGAGGCGCGCAATTTTTTTTAGCGACCCTCCGAGTCGCCCCTTCCGTCGTGCTCCCGCTTAGGCCCCTCGTCGGCCCCCGCTTAGGCCCCTCGTCGGCCCCGCTTAGGCCCCTCATCGGCCCCGCTTAGGCCCCTCGTCGGCCCCGCTTAGGCCCCTCGTCGGCCCCTGCTTAGGCCCCTCGTCGGCCCCGCGTACCCCTCGTCGGCCCCGCGTAGGCCCCACGTACCCCTCGTCGGCCCCGCGTACCCCTCGTCGGCCCCGCGTACCCCTCGTCGGCCCCGCGTAGGCCCCGCGTACCCCTCGTCGGCCCCACGTAGGCCCCGCGTAGGCCCCGCGTACCCCTCGTCGGCCCCGCGTAGGCCCCGCGTACCCCTCGTCGACCCCGCGTACCCCTCGTCGGCCCCGCGTAGGCCCCGCCCAGGCCCCGTCTCGGCCCCGTGTCGGCCCCGCGTAGGCTCCGTCGGCCCCGCTTAGGCCCCTCTTCGGCCCCGCGCCGGCCCCACCTACGCCCTGTCGGCCCCGCGCTGGCCCCGCTTAGGCCCGCCACCGGCCCCTGCTACAGCCCGCCGCGTCGGCCCCGCCTACAGCCCGCCGGCCCGCCTAGGCCCCACTTCGGCCCCTCGTCGGCCCCACTACAGCCCGCACCGGCCCCTGCTACAGCCCGCCACCGGCCCTGCTACAGCCGCCACCGGCCCCTACTACAGCCCGCCGCCGGCCCTGCTACAGCCCGCCACCGGCCCTGCTACAGCCGCCACCGGCCCCTGCTACAGCCCGCCACCGGCCCTGCTACAGCCCACCACCGGCCCTGCTACAGCCGCCACCGGCCCCTGCTACAGCCCGCCGCCGGCCCTGCTACAGCCCGCCGCCGGCCCTGCTACAGCCCGCCACCGGCCCTGCTACAGCCCACCACCGGCCCTGCTGCAGCCCGCCGTGCTGCACGTGAGCAGCCCCAGCAGCCCGCGCCGCCCGTGAGCCCCTACGCCACCCGAGCCGCGCGAGACGCCCGAGCCGCCCGAGCCGCCCGAGCCGCCCGAGCCGCCCGAGCCGCCTGAGCCACGCGAGCCACCTGAGGAGCCGTGCTGCTGTCCCTGAGCTGTGTTCCTCTGCTGCTGACCTACCCGACTCTTCCAGCCCGGTGAGACTTTCAGCTGCTGCCATGGCCACCCCCAATGTTCTTACTTTTGACGCTGAGGGGAGGGCCATTGACTTTGCCGTCTGGATTGAAGACCTGCAGCTGTACTTACTGTGTGATGCGATAGATGAGGTCTCTCTCTTTGACTTTGTCTCTGGAGCTGTCCCTGCCCCGCCTGCTGATGCTGACTCTGCCGTTCGCTCCAAGTGGGCGACCCGCGATGCTGCTGCACGTCTTGCTGTGCGTCGCCACCTCCCTTCCTCTGAGCGTGCCCACTTTAGTCAGTGCAAGACCGCTCAGGCCTTGTACGACGCTGTAGTTGCACGCTACTCCTCCCCTTCCTCCGCTACCCTTAGCCGCCTCATGCTACCGTTTCTCTTCCCTGACCTCGCTTCCTTTCCCACTGTCGCTGACCTCGTTACCCACCTCCGCGCTAGTGACGCTCGCTACCGCGCTGCCCTTCCTGCTGAGTTCCGCGCCGCAAACCCTCCTCCCATGTATATCACTCTCTACTTTCTCGTCACCCGTCTTCCTGAGTCCCTTCGTGTCGTTAGGGACCAGTTTCTCTCTGTCTGTCCCACCACCCTCACTGTCGACCTCCTTGAGGAGTCCCTGCTAGCGGCTGAGAAGAGTATAGTCGCTGTAGGGGCCTCTAGGGGTGACCCTCGCACCCCCATCTTTGAGGGGTGTTCTCCTTCCCCCCTGCTGCCCTCTGTCGCCTCTGCTGCTACGGCCGACCTCGCTGGTTTTGAGTCGGTCGGTGCGGCGTCTGCCCCCAGCGGCAGACGCCGCTCTGGCAAGGGCAAGGGGGGCAAGGGAGCGGGTGGATCTAGAGGAGGCAGTGGCGGAGGAGGTGGGGGTGGCGGGGGGAGTGGGGGTGGCGGTGGAGGTGGTGGCGGGAGTGGAGGTACTAGTGGCGGCGGTGGAGGCGGAGGTGGCGGCGGAGGTGGTAGCGGAGGAGGCGGTGGGAGCGGTGGGAGCGACGGTCCTGGTGGGGGAGGTGGCGGTGGAGACGGGGGTGGCGGTGGAGGCGGGGGTGGTGGTGGAGGCGGGGGTCGGAGTGGCTCGTCCCAGCGGAGCAGCTCTGGGGGTGGTCAGCGCCAGCAGCAGCAGCAGCAGCAGCAGCAGCAGCAGCAGCCGCAGCAGCAGCAGCGCTCTCGCACCGTCCCCGGCCCTCAGCAGCTCCGTGAGTGGTACTTGCAGCGTCAGCGCGGTGGTGCTCTTGGTCCCTGCCCCTACGTTCTTCGCACCGGTGACCGTGCGGTGGAGAGGTGTGGAGGCGCCCACACAGCCCGTCGCTGCTTTGGCCGCCTGACCGACGCCTGGCGTCAGCAGTTTCCGGAGGCCGCTGAGATCCCCCGCTGGGGAGAGCTGTCTAGGGCTGGAGTAGCTATTTATGATCTTGACTTTGATGCTATTCTCTCTGCTATGTATGCTGTGACTGGTAGTGATGAGGATGACTGTTACCGGTGTTTCCCGCCCGACCCGGGCATTGGTACTGCCGCGTCAGGTACTAGTGAGGCTGCTGCTCTAGGTGCCAGTGCGTCTGTGCTCTCAGGTGCTGGTGAGTCTGCCCTCTCAGGTACTGTGTCGGCTTCGGCCTCTCACACCTTCACCCTTGACTCTGGAGCGTCTCGCTCCTTCTTTAGGGACCGCACCACTCTCACGCCGCTGAGTCGGCCGGTTGCAGTGTCCCTGGCTGACCCCTCTGGGGGGCCGGTCCTGGCTCGCTTCTCCACTGTCCTCCCGTGTCCGGCGGCCCCCTCTGGCACCCTGACTGGTCTCTACCTCCCCTCGTTCTCGACGAACTTGGTGAGTGGTGCTGACCTCCAGGATGCGGGTGTCCACCAGTTCACCCCTGCTCGTCAGCGGGTGACCCACTGCACGGAGGAGGATACAGGTCGCCACCTGGCTACGTTTACACGTCGGCCAGGGTCGAGCCTGTACACACTGACCACTGCTTCTCCTCCAGGTGCTGAGTCTGGTAGGGTCCCTTCGTCTGGTCAGGTGTTTGCTGCAGCGTCCAGGTCTGGTCCTGAGTCTGCCCCCTGCTCGTGTCGTCGTCTGTCTCACGAGACCCTCCTCTGGCACCACCGCCTTGGCCACCCCTCCCTGCTTCGGCTCAGAGGCATGGCCTCGCGAGTCCTTGTGTCTGGTCTTCCCCGGTCTCTCCCTCCCCTTCCTCCGGGCCCTGGCCCCACCTGTGTCCCCTGTGTCGAGGGGCGCCAGCGTGCTGCCCCTCACTCCTCCCAGTTTCCTCCCACAGAGGCCCCGTTGCAGACGCTTCACATGGACGTGTGGGGCCCAGCCCGCGTCCGTGGACAGGGTCAGGAGCGCTACTTCCTGCTGGTGGTTGACGACTACTCGCGTTACACCACAGTCTTCCCCTTGCGCAGCAAGGGTGAGGTCACTGAGGTGCTGATCGACTGGATCCGCGCAGCTCGTCTCCAGCTTCGGAGGAGCTTTGGCTCTGACTTCCCTGTTTTGCGTCTTCACTCGGACAGAGGTGGAGAGTTCTCCTCCGGCCTCCTGAGTGCCTACTGTCGTGTGCGAGGCATCCGTCAGACCTTCACGCTTCCGGACTCACCGCAGCAAAATGGGATTGCTGAGCGCCGCATTGGCATGGTCATGAACGTCGCTCATACGTCCATGATGCATGCGGCTGCTCCCCATTTTCTGTGGCCGTTTGCGGTCAGGTACGCTGCGCACCAGATCAACCTCCACCCCAGGGTCTCTCGACCGGAGACCTCCCCAGCCCTGCTGTGGACGGGGAAGGTTGGCGATGCGTCGGCGTTCCGGGTCTGGGGATCTCGGGCGTTTGTTCGCGACCTGTCTGCGGACAAGCTGTCCCCTCGTGCTTCTCCCTGCGTCTTCCTGGGGTTCCCCCCCGACGCCCCTGGGTGGCAGTTTTACCACCCCACCTCTCGACGTGTTCTGTCCTCCCAGGACGTCACGTTCGACGAGTCGGTGCCCTACTACCGCCTCTTCCCCTACCGCACTCCGTCCCTCCCCCCACCCCCGCTCTTCTTGGTACCAGGTCCCCCCCCGGTAGTCCCCCTCCCCCCTCAGGGTCCTGCCCCTTCAGGTGTGTCCCAGGTAGACGCGGTCGAGCCTGTCGAGGTCACTGGTGACTCTGGTGCTGCTGCGGGAGCTGAGCCTGGGGGTGCGGAGTCTGGGGGTGCTGAGCCTGGAGGTGCCGAGTCTGGGGGTGCTGAGCCTGGGGGTGCTGAGCCTGGGGGTGCTGTGCCTGGGGGTGCCGTGCCTGGAGGTGCTGTGTCTAGGGGTGCTGAGCCCGGGGGTGCTGTGCCTGGGGGTGCTTCGTCTCGCCGGGAGCCACTCTCCCCACAGGAGCTGCGTGAGTGGTTTGCCGGGCGCTGGAGGCGTGCTGCTGGTGCTGGTGGTTCTTCGGCTGCAGAGGGCACTGCTGCTGCGCGCCCCGCCGGTG